GACAAGATTGAGGATTTCTCGTGAATACAAAATACTAGCAAGATTTGGCTTTTCTGCTGCAAATGAAGCATAAAAAACTAAACAATCATTGAGACCTCCGTCATTTCTATGCAACACGAGTTATAACAAGACTTGAACAAAAGATATATTAACTCGGACAAAACTGTATTATTTGATATAAGAGGGTGACAAGAAGCCCGCACTCTCAAAAACAAAACAAAATACATGTGAAGAAAAGTCACTAAATCAGTGAACATCAATTAGACAAACTAAAGCTCAAATGTTGAACCCAGAATATCTGAATAAGAATAATTAATTTGCAGAATTACCTCAACAGGTTACATGTTTTTCATTTTTCCCAGTTTGCCTTCAACAGTTCAACTTCTCTGGTGAAAATTTATTGTCTGTTGGCGATTTTCACCAAATTTTGATCACAAATGTGACCCTTTTTTTCAACCGGCAGGGCCCACATGTGAGACAAACATTCAACAATTGCGGCTGAATTTAAAAACCAACGGTACAAAAAGTGATTTTTTGGATTGAAAAAGCTGTACGAGACACAACCTAAATTAAGTTGTGCTTCCTCAATCCTCATTCATCACGTTCAGGCAAAGCGAATTCAGATTTTGACAGGTTCTTGCAAAGCGAATTTAAATAAGTGAAATCACAAAATGAGATAGACGAAAAGATAATTAAGAAAAGATAATTGGTACTTCAAATTTTCAGTAAGGGTTCAATGAAAAATAAGAATAGTCATGTAGGGAATAGATAGAATTTTTTGGTGAAAATTAGAAGATGATTGGAGAGAAAGATGGTTGGAGAAAAAGATGATTGGAGAAGAAGACGGTTGGTTCTTTCTTGCTCAGTTTTTTTTTTTTTTAAGGGATTTGAGGGGTTTTGGATTGGGGCAGTTTTTGATCTTGGCCTTACTTGCCTTGGGCAAGGGCCGGCCATGGTCATCGCCACTCATTGTAACAAATTATGTCACATTTGTAACATTCAATCTTTCAACTTTGCCACCACTTGTAACATACCTTGTACACTCACCGTTGCCACAACCATATTTAGCATATATTATATTACATTTTCACTACCATCACTGCCTTCCACTATCACTTGTAAGATACTTTGTTACACTGTGACGACAATAACACCGTCATTGTCAATGGTAACATACCGCGTTACAAGAATACTCTCATTATTTACCATCATCTACGCTACCATCTTGCCCTACTACCATCACTATCACCACCACCACAATCACATGTAAAACTTGTAACAACCTGAGTTATGCCTCCGTCGCCCTCACCATCAGCAACACTATCACCACCATAACCACTTCTCGTGACACCAAGACCATCTCTTAAAATCCACAGACCCCCACAATAGTGAAATTTGACGCCATAACCACCCCCAAATTCCCCATCTCCTCCCCGAAACGGATAACACCATCACAATCTCCATATGTGCATCACCATTGCAACTAAAATAGGCCACCATCTCCAATCAAACTTTCGAAATAAAACCCTTCTTAGCATCACAACCACCCGAAAACTCATGTCACCATCACCAATAAATCTAAGGCAAGGTGAAAACATTGAAGATCCATTCCAGACTTGAAGAAATTCCAAAGAAATCAAATATTTTTTCCCTTCTGTTTCTAATGTAGGGGAAGATTATAGAAAAGACAAAAATCTCACAAAAAGAATTTCAATCATGAGAAATTCAAGGAAAAAACTTTATTTTATTCAAAATTGTGTTGCCTCAAAGGGCTTACAACGTTTAAATAGCGAAACCCTAAGAAAATTCAGAAATAAANAACGGCAAAAACGCTTAATTGAGGGCCTAAACGATGGAATTTGCCCAAAATTTGACGTGCATCAGGGCCAAAGGCCCTGAGTTGTGATCATTGGCCCGTTTTCAATCAAATTAGACTAGCAATTCGCCAAAAACGAACAAACCCGAAATTAAATGAAATTATTATTTTGTCTTCGTTAGTTTCTTTCCTAAGCGCCTCCATGGGATTTTTGGGTACGATTATGATTTTTTTAAATACCCGATTTGAACGTTTATAAAGGGTCCAGTTCTAGGTAACGATTTTTAAAACATTTCAATCCATGTTAACGAGTTTATTATTGAGTAGTTATGAAAGTTTTTCAAAAGAATAAAATTACATAGATATCCATATATAAAAAAAGGTAAGTCTGTGTAATCAATATGAAAAAAATATGTATGTTACTTCTTATATAATAACGATGAAAAAAATATATGAAAATAAAAATTGACATGTGAGTATTCGGTACTTAAAATTTGTAAGTTTTCGTCTTTAATGAGCGATTTTTGTTCATAAAAAAGAAGAGAAAATGAAAAATCAAAAGGTGGGACGAGGATGGAGAGAAAACATTAAAAAAAATTGAAACCCAAAGTTGAAAATATTTTGTTCTTTATGATGGGATTTGATATAATTGTTGTTTGTTTGCTTTTCTTTATTTACTCGAGTTTCTTTGTTACAAGGACAATGTATCCAACGGTAGCAAAATTGACTTGGTCTATAATCAGTAAGCACATGGAATAACTTGCAATTTTATTCCAAATGAGCTGACAATAAAAACTAATTAAAACACATGAATACTAGAATAGAATAGATACTAAAAGTGATAGGTGTTTGTTAATACTTAAAACACGGCATTGAGTGAGGAATATTATTGAATAAAAATGTTGTTGCCTAATTAAATTAGCTACCTAATTAACGCGTTAATTAAATTGTTTATGATTGGTTTGGCGGCATATTCATGGGCGATACACCTCATATTCATACAATGGTTAGAGTAAACACAGTTTAAGCAACCAAATTAAATTTGCAAAATCAAGATTATAAATTGACATGTTGGTTTATGGTCTTGAAAAAAAAAATTTACGAGTCTAAATCAATTGATAAGAAAATAGCGTGTATACACCAATTCAGGGCCACTTCTAGGCCCAAACCACCTTTCCTAAGGCCTCAATAATTCGATGGGCCTCCAAAAAAAAAAGAGTGAAAATTATTTCTATATGCACGAATTTCCAATTTTTCTTTATAATCCATATTCGTGAGGTTTACATAGATTAAATAATTAAGATTTTGATAAATAGGGTAGATTTGGACATAATTATTATAGACATGGTAAATTGGGGGAAAAGAATGAAAAAATGACCAAAAATCACTGATTTGGTTTAGAAATTTAATCCAAATCACACTACACTGATGGCCTAGTCCTCCAAAAAACTAACCAGTACTGATTTTGTCAACCTCTCATAAACCGTGTCAACCAAAAACAATCAAAATCAGTGGAAAAAAACTGACAAGCAGGTCATAAAATTTGAATCATCTGAAAATAAGATCTCAAAACATAACAATGGAGCAAAAATTAAGACACTTTCCTTCCATTACATTCTCCACTTGTCCCGATTGGAAGAGTGGCGCCACCGCCTTGATGGCTCCAGATTTACTCATATTTGGATGGACGTGTGTTTTGATGCATGAAACGCTGTAAACATGGAACCAAAAAAAAAAGTTAATATTGTCACTAATCAAGAATGTGCCTTCAGCAATAGCACTTCATTGCTTCATGCGTATTGTTTGTTTATGGTCATCTATTCACACCTTTGACAGTCTGCATGAAAAGGGGAAAACACCCCTTTTATTCGGCATTACAAGAAAGAGGATTTTTCAGAGTATTAAGAATTGCTTAAAGATGCTGAGGACCAAATAATAGGCCTGCAGTCATCCTTAGAACTAGATTTTCCCTTCAGCTTCCATAGAAATTTCAAGAAAGAGATAAAAAAGATGAATCAGAAGAACAAAAGACAAAAAGAGAGAAAATGGCAAATCTAATCTAACTTGTTCTACAACAGAATTTACTTTTTACGGCATACACGTGAACGCCGTATAAAGCCATATCGTAAATGCTCACATTCTTTTATGACATACAATGCAAGCCATAAAAAAAAAAAAGCACGCCTTTAATTCACTTCTTACGGATAGGTCACAAAACCCTCATATCAATAGCTGGCATTATTACACATCACCATCTAAAGTTATGCATCTACGAGAAAATTGAATTGTCCAGAAAAGGGCAACTTTAGCTTTTGAGCCACATTCTTTAAAAACTCATTTTTACCCAACACATTTCAAGTACACATTATTGCATTGATATTCATATAATTTTACACGAAAATCTAAAATTTTTCTATACTTTTTAATTACACATTCTCCATAAAATCACCGAATTCATTCTTTCAAAAAATGGGCGGCTCAAATTTGTTCAAAGAATTACTAAATACAAAGAGAAAAAACAGGACTAGCCAAAATCCCCAAATGGTCCGGCCCAACGTGCAGACTCTAATTGAGTGTAGATCAACCCTTGTTTGATTTAGGGATAATTACAACAGCGGTACCAAACTTTTCATTTAGTTGTAGGGTTTTTCCAAATTTTTTTTGTGCCACACATCAAATCTTCCAAAAATTAGCATTTGGAGTTTAATCTGACGGAATCCGTTAGTTGACCAAAAGTCAACGGTAAGCACAAATTTTGATTAATTTTTAAAGGGTAAAATGGTTCAATTTACATTTTCATATAAAAGAATTAAATAAAGAAACCAAGAAATAAAAGAAAAAGAATTTACCATCTTTCCCACTCCCATCCCCAGATCCAAATCCAAATCCGAATCCACCCATCCACTATCGGGCAATTGCCGTCGGTGCTGTCGGGCCACACACGCAATCACATCACAACCAAATCCACCCATCCTCAGCCATCTACCACCACAACCCCCTGAGGCAACATCAGATCAAGAGTAACACCTTCCCCTTCCAATTTCTTCTTGCAAGAGTAACAAAAATTATATTCACACTCGGAGATCATGGCCGAGAACTTTATTCTGGCTGCCAATCGTGGACCTCCTTTCCGAAGACTGTGGACAACCGTGGACCTCCACCCCTCACACCATTTTGTAGATCCCTACTGCATCCGATAACAAGTTTTCTTCTCAATCACTAGCTGGCCACTCGAATCAACTTTAATTCGTGGGTTAAAATCCAGTATCTTTGGAGGGTCTTCACCATCCATAGCTTTCAATCCCTGCAACTCCATCATGAACTACGACACTGATCGTTTGATTTCCCGCAAGTGAATGGGGTCGTGATCAAGTAATATAGTAGTGTGTAAAGTGTCGAACCCACGAGGACTACGTATTTGATCGAGTTAAAGTTAATAATACCCTTAATCGAATAGCAATAACAATTTATAATAAATCTATATCTAATTTATCACGTACAAAAAATTAAAGTAAGAAATTGTTATCATGTGAGTTGGTTGAAGTTTCAAATTTATTTACAAACTTCTCTCGATAGCAATTAAATCTAATCCTATATGTGATCTTTCTATATCTCTATAAAAGATACCAACGTATAAGAAAGTATTAAACGAGTTAGAATATCAAAATAACCATGCAAGACATAAATGTATATCTCTATCCTTTATCGAACCTTACAATATTTATCATTATGTGCTAACAATTCTATTACCTCTCTCGATGATAATAAAATTCACAAACAATTCAACTAATGACGAATTAATTGAAAAGTAAACTAAACCATAATAAATATCTACACATTCAAACAAATTAATGTCAAAATAATTAATTAATACTAAAAATTTTAAAATAAGGGTTCATCTATATCTTTAGCAATGTAAAAATTTAGCCTAGCATGATATTGAAATTAAATATGCAAAAGTGGAACGATATCACCGAAAATTGATCAAACGTGAACAAATCTGAAATTAAATGATGCTGTCTTTGTTTTTCCGGTCCATGCGTGATTTGTCTTTCTGCATCCTCTGTCTATATAATTAATATAGCCAAAATTTTTGACCAATTCTCTCCCCGTGTCACTTTCCTGCAATTGCACATTGAAGGAATGCCGCCACGTGTATATAATATCAAAGCCACAGAATTTATTTTGTCTATTCTGATTTCACTTTGCAGCCTCTGTCTCTTGTGTGTATACGTGCGTATTCCCTGCCTTTTTGCTTCCGTCTGCGTGAATCTGTTTTTTCTCCAACAGCAGCCACAGCCCTTTTTTTTTTTATTTTTCTTCTCTGCTTCCCCTTTCTGTGGCATATATATACCCTCAATTCAGCCGCCAAAGTGTTGTAGTCTTAATAGGATTTCAAATGGTAATTGAAGTTTTAATCCAATTGCAAGTCCACAAGTGAGGCCCAATTACTTTGTGCAGCCCATATTCTCTTCAATTTCTAAAATGTGGAATTTGATCCCAAAATTATAGATTTCATTCGATTTTGTCTTTCTTCCTTTCCAATTGTTTAGAGACACGTCCATACTAAAAACAAAAGAAATTAATCCAAATTAAGTAGAAAATAATAATTTGACGACCAAAAAAGTTTAATAATATAGTCCAGATAAGTGCATAAAATACACTTATCAGACACCATCTTGCTCTCCTCATCTTTCTTCACAAGCACAATACTTGACTCGCTCTCCACATGGGCCCACTGCTATTATGTGGGACCCTAACGACATCCTGCAAGGTATCACCATCAAATTCGCCTTCTTCAAAAAGTCCCCCCCTAAACACAAACACAGAGTTCGGGTAAGGCTTGGAGGCCATCTTCACCGTGGACCTCCTCTCCGAAGACTTCTCAGACTTCTCACGCCTAAAATGCGGTCTTCTCATCCTTACGACCCACCGTCTACTTTGGATGCCGTCAGATTCCAACATCCCCAATATTTTTATTTTACTTTTTGTTTTTTTATTTAATTATTTTAATTCTTTTATATAAAAATGTAAATTGATCATTTTACCCTTTAAAAATTAGTCAAAATTTGTGCTGACCATTGACTTCTGGTCAACTAACTGATGAACTAATGAATTTCATCAAATTATACTCCAAATGCTAATTTTTGAAAGGTTTGGTGTCATGGGTGGCTCAAATGAAAGGTTTGGTACCCCTACTACACTTATCCCTTTGATTTACGCCTCGTTCACGTGACAATGACGATACAATAGTAAAAATGATGATACATTGAAATATTCTTTTTAATGTAGTGAGAAGTTACAACAATTGAAAAAAAATCATAGTAGACAATCAAAACTCATTAATTCTTAGAATGTTAGAATACTATTTAAATATCGAATAATTGATTTTGATCTACAAATCATTAATTCTATAGAGTATTAGTTTCAAATTTAGAATTTAGAGAAGCCTCACAATTTTCTTAATTTAATCATATTCAAACCAATACACTAGGTAACCGCTACAACTCTTATTATCTAATGCTTAACCTAATTAAAAATTTGTTAATGTCTAAACTCCTAACAAATGATAAATTTTGACAAATTAATCCCCTATTTGGTTTATCTAAAAATTAGATTTTTAGTAGATTTTAATAAAATTTAATATAATGTGTGGTTGTAAAGTTAATAAGAAAATGTGGATTTCATAAAATATGTGATTAAAATTAATTAGTAACTATGACTTAAATTTTTGTCATTTGTTTAGCTAAATCAAATAGGGACTAAAGAACCTGACATAATTAAAGAAATAAACTCCTAAACAAAGTATCGACTTGATCATAATTATATTAAAATGTCACAATTAAAAGTAAAGTAACGAAACCATTCCAAGTTCATAGCCCTCTTGCATCTTAGGCTACATCATTCTTCTCAGGTTCGAGAAGATTCCTCTTACGAATCGAGCGTCATATCTTTAAATATTGTCTCGTACTCTAGGCAATTCTCAGAATAAGTAAATGGCTTGAGTGGAGAGCTCAGTATGAGCCTCAGAGGAATGTGGAGTACCCTTCTCCATGTTCCCTACATAGAAGTAGGGGTTGACAAAATTCACGCGTACGATCAAATTGAACGGGAACCAGTCGATTTAGTACTGGTTCTAAAAAAATAATTGTTTTGGATACTTTGTCATGAGAACCGATAGATTCTGGTCCCGTTCCCTATGCTTATTGTAGAACCAAAACTTTTTTCTGTTTCAGTTTCAGTTTCAGTTTATTTCTTTAATTATAAATGTTGGAAAAACTGGATAAACTAAGTTAAATGGCTGACTTTGACACTAATTTTGAGCGGGACCCGCTTGGCTATTTTGAAAGATGAAAGTTGATTTGTGTTCTCCTCCGTGAGTACATCGAAATCATATACTTACTTGTCAAAAATGATGCTCGGGTGAATGAGAAATTGAAGCTCAAAGTATGCCATGTGAAAGGAGTTTGTTGGTGGGAAAAATAAATATTTAAGCTTTGTCCCACATAGGAAGTGGAGGAAATTTAAAACCACTTTATAAAGGATTGCACTTTAGAATGGTGTAATCATGTGTAGCATAGAGGCTCTCTCCACGTGCGCGCGCAGGGGGGTGCAAATCTTGGACCGAAATTGGCTTCGGACCTTGAACTTGTGTGCGAGCGCGACCTGCGTACACGAATGTCGGACCGAAAGGAGCAAAATTGGCCCCTTAGGAGTGTCCACGTTTTGCTACATTTTTTAATTTTTTCAATAGACTTTTGGTTTTCCAAAACTGTTGAAACTCCAAAACTCCTGTTGTAATTGCTATGAAATGAATGAGCAGGTTACAAGATCCTAAGCCTATATATATCTCGTTTTTCCAGTCTTCAGTACACGAAAAATTCATCTGCATATTCATCTGGTCACAGTTGGAGTCTGCTCTCGTTTTTACTTTCTGTTTCTTTGTCTTGTTTGGTGATATTGTTCGGGCACTGGTTCAGTTCGCCGGAGTACAATCTGTGGTGCTTAGATTATACTGTTTCGCCGTTGTATCCTGGGAAACGGACGCTCTGTTAAACCTCAAGCAGAGACGGTGAGGGAGCGAATCTGTTTTAAGGAAACTGTGTGGAACACAGGCCTCGGGTTATAAGTTTCCTGTTATTTAACTTTTGCGATTATTTGTTTGTCACTCGTTTATGCTAATTTGCGTTTTGCAAGTCTACTAACAATTTCGTTACTAGTTCTACATGTTTAAAGTTGTAGTTCTGCTTAAATCAGCTGTTACACTATACTGCGATTTAACATATTGTCGAATCTGCTGTTGTATTATATCTGTTGTGTATATTTGAATCCATTGTACTCAAAGTTATTGAATCTGCTACTGCGAATCCGGTATTCAATATTGAAACAATTTTCCTACAATAAAATCTTATTTAGGGTTTGTTTGAACCCCATTTTTTGAAATTAAAAAAAAGATTTTGTAACGTGATTTTTTTTTTTGAGAATGCATGGTTAAAAACGTAAGGATTTTTTTTGGATTTATATGTAAAATTATTTTATTGAGTGAATATATGGTTTTGAAAATGAATTGAGAGAAAAATGATTTTTTAAGGAACGTGGTTCAAACATGGGGCTTAAATAAGAGAAAATAACTTGATCCTAATTAAATAAAATGACATAAGCAAGTTGAAGATTGTTGTTCAAAAATCAATAAAAAAAAATGTGTGGAACAAAAAATAGAATTGAGGGCCAAAACTTTAGCCTATGCGATCGCATAGACCATGGAGGCATGCGGTCGCATGTTGGCTTGCAGGGATTGTACGCCCTGTCATTGAACAACCTACGCGGTCGCATAGCATAGGTTTGTTCTATGTGGCCGCATAGGGTTAAAAACTAGCTGTTGGATGGTTTTTTCAAACTAAAATCTGATGCCTTTTTGGATGGAAAATTGCCACTATTCATCATGTTTAGCACCATTTCATGTAGTATTGATTGAGATCTATAAATAGATGTCTAATAATCAGTACAAAACAATTGAAAACCAATTTTGAGTTATCATATTTCATTCCAAAAAGAGAAACGATCAAAAACTCTCTTCTTTCATATTCAAAAATCTAGTTTTTTTTTCTTGAGTTTTGAAAGAATTACACTAGTGCTCAAGTGTTTATTCTTTTTCAAGACTTGATAAATTCTACATTTCATTTGCCAAGAGTCCATTTAAGCATCAAATTTAATTCAAGAGGGGGCAAATATCGTTTGATGACAACGAGTACGTGTTTGAACCTTTAATTTTTATTCTGATTTTTCTTAATTATATTATTTTGTTTCTTCTCCAATCCCTTGTGTGGAAGCATGAATTCCAACATTTTCAAAGGATAATCTGCGATGGAGAATGAAACCACCATGGCTACGATTAAATTGATGAATCAAGATCTTGTTCGTTTGGACCGTTTTGATGGAACGAATTTTACAAGGTGGCAAGATAAGTTGAAGCTTTTCCTAATGGCGTTGAATATTTTCTACATTCTTGATCTAGAATTGGCACCAATTGTAGATCCAACGGATGAAGATACCGAGGTCGTAAGAATGGATAGATAAAAGCATCAAGATGATGAATTCATATGCCGTGGTCATATTCTCAATGCGTTATCAGACCTATTATATGATCTCTATACCAATACATCATTGGCAAGAGAAATATGGAATGTTTTGGAAAACAAGTATAAAGCCGAAGAAGAAGGTACAAAGAAATTCTTAATATCAAGGTATTTTGATTTTAAATTCCTTGATAACATTCCCCTCCTTCCCCAAGTACATGAGTTACAAGTTCTTGTCAACAAGTTGAAGGCGGTCAAAATTGATATTTAGGAATCTTTCTAAGTGGGAGCAATTATTACGAAACTTCGGAGGACTTGGAAAGGATATCGGAAAACAATAATGCATAGTTCCGAAGATCATTCTTTGGAACAAGTGCAAAAATATCTTCGAATTGAAGAAAAATCATGAGCAAGAGATAAGAGATAAGAATGACAATTCTTATGAAAGCAATTCAAAAGCCAATGCCGTAGAGAAGATCGAACCTTTAAATAAATCCAACAAGAGAAAACCTTCTAAAAACTTTAACAAGTTTAAGAAGAAGTGCAATGGAGGTTGCTTTGTATGTGGAAAACCCAGACATTATGCAAAGGAATGTCGACACACAACTCCAAAACAAAGTGACCTCCATCAAAAAAGACAATATTGAGGCCACCGTAAGCGAGATAAATGCAATTAAGAGAAAAATTCCTAGTTGTTGGTATGATACATGTGCAACTGTACGTGTATTATATGATAAGTCTTTATTCAAGACTTATTATGAAATGGATGGAGATCAATAGATTCAAATGGGTAATGAAAGCTGATCCAAAGTAATCGGAAAAGGAAATGTAGAAATCATCGTCACTTTGGGAAACCGTTACTTTAACAAATGTACTACATGTTCCTGAAATGAATAGGAACTTAGTTAGTGGTAATCTCTTAGGAAAACAGGGCACAAAGAAGTGTTTATGAGTCCGATAAACTTGTAATATCTCTAAATGAAAAAATTGTTAGAAAAAGCTATTCTGGTGAAGGAATGGTCAAACTTTGTACAGTTGACAAGTTAAATAATAATAAAGTTGAATTTGCTTATTTGATTGATTCAATTATTTTATGGCATGCTAGATTAGGTTAAATAGGTAAGAGTACCATGAAAAGAATGCTAAAATGTGATTTAATATCATATAATGAAAATGATGCATTTAAATGTAAAACATATGTAGAATCTAAAATGACTAAGAAACTTTATCAAAGTGTAAATATGACTTCTAATATTTTAGAATTAATTCATACGGACATATGTGAATTAAATGGTATATTAACTAGAGGTGGGAATATATATTTTATTACCTTTATAGATGATT